AGCCAAATCCCGATGGCAACAGAAGATATCCCGAAAACGGCTATCATTACGCCTTTCGGGCTTTTTGAATTTCTACGTATGCCATTTGGTCTCCGGAATGCAGCACAAACATTCCAACGCTTCATTGACGAAGTATTTCGCGGTCTCTACTTTGTATACGCGTACTTAGACGACTGCCTCATTGCCAGTCCAGATAAGGAAACTTACCTTAGGCACTTGGACTTGACATTTGAAAGGTTACGCCGACATGGTGTTACCATCAATATTCGAAAGTGTCAAATCGGTGTTGACTCACTCGACTTTCTGGGTCACACGATTGACTGCAAGGTCAAGGCTATACTGAACTTTCCAAAGCCACAGACGGTGAAAAGTCTCCGCACTTTTAACGGCTTAGTAAGTTATTATCGACGCTTTATTCCCAACTGTGCCTCTCTGATTCAGCCATTGACAGACCTCCTTCGAGGGAATAACAAGTCCATAGAACTTAACGCGTCTGCTCGAAATGCTTTTACCCAGACTAAAAAAGCTATTGCGAATGCCACACTTCTGATCTATCAGGATCCAACGGCACCGTTAAGTATCTCGGTTGATGCATCAAACACTGCAATCGGCGCAGTTCTACAACAGCTAGAGTGGCAACCAATCGCCTTTTTGTTCAGTTGCCTTTAATTAGCTGAAACGAAGCACAGCACATTCGGCAGAGAACATCAGGCTATGTACTGTGCCATACGACACTTTAGACATTCAGTGGAAGGTGGTGAATTCATAATTTTCACTGACAACAAACCTCTGACTTACTCTCTTTGTGACTTGTCTGTTAATAATGACGATATGTCCGATGTGAAACGTGACATGGTTGATGTTACTGTTTCGCCGTCCAGGGATAATAGGAACATCAAACTTCCTAAATTTGAACCACGGTGTTTCTATGGAAACCCAACAGGTTATATACAGTTTGTAAGAGAATTTGAAATCATTTTTATTGGTTTGTTATTAAATGGTGAATTCAAGTTAATGTATTTCATGATGTATTGCACTGGAGATGCTTCAAGAGCTATACAGTGCTGTAAGCTCATGTCCACTAATGAGGGATACGCTGAGGCTATGAGCATATTATGTCAAAGGTTTGGAAGACCTTCAATGATTGTAAGGAACGTATACGAAGCTGTCAAAGGTAACGGCAGTCAACTTCAAGATGACTCCAGGGCACTTACTGATAATCTTATGACTTATAAGAATACCTTGATTTCTATGAATTGCGTGAGTGACCACAACGCAAGCTCAGTCCTAGAGGTAATTGCGAGACGCCTACCTACTCGGCTGCAAAGGAAGTGGGTAAAAATAAGCTCTCGTATAGAGAAGGATGGTATCGAGCCAAGGTTTGATGATATTCTGAGACTGGTGAAGGACAGTGTCAACAAGGCGATGGGCAAATTCAC